CCCGCGCCTTCTGGTGATTTCCATCCACGTCACTCGCACTGGCGAATCTCATTGGCCACTGTGCACTCGCTAACCCCCAATCACACCCGTGCAAATTCCCCGCCTGCGTGAGGAAACATGAAAACAAACAAGCCACCCGGCAGGGAAGTGGGGGAGCAAAGACCGACCACGTTGCCCCGCCCATCACCCTGGACAAACATTCCTCCTCTTTGATACTAAGATGCAGGAGTGGGAAGACGCTGACGTGCAGTTGTCACAGAGCGGTGTTTGAAACTGGTGCACAGATACACCGACCCCACACTCGGGGCGGTTAGAGCCAAGCAGAAAGCAGCAGCAGCCACGGATGGAGGAAGCGAACCATATCGTAGTCCAGGGTGGATAACTCCAGCGGGTGCTTTGCTAGAAACTGCTGTTCCTCACCCACCTGCAGTAAGTCAGTGTTGAGTATTGGCCTTCTCCAAGGCAAAAGTATCCTGTGAACTCACACTGGTTGTGTCCCAGTATGAACAGCTGAAGCAGGAAATCAGCATTTGCTTAGTGAGAGCCATGACAACCAATAAGGCTTTTTCAATTAGGCTAAGCTAACTTGCATGTAAAACCCAACACAAAACAACAGCATAAAACCAACCAAAAATCAAAACAACAAGCTCACTCTTTTCATCTGCTGAGACTGGAGTACTGCTCAGTTTGGTAAAATGCTGTCAATGCCACTGCAATCACTTCAATGCGAGTGGTACATTTAACTGAAGCTTTTTGCTTGAAAATGGTTCTCAAAACCAGAAACCATTTGCTATGCTTCTGAAACAACTGTAAGTGCAGCACAGTTACTGAATTGCCATGAGCCTTGCAGAGGAGAGAAGGTGAGAAAACCACTGCAAAAGGCATGCAATTGAAGAAGCTGAGATCAAATTTTGAGAATTCTGCTGGTTCTGCAGTACTGTCCTGGGAAATAAGGGACTTCAGGATGATCAACATTCACTACACAAACCAGTATAAAAGCAACTCTTAGATGCTTTCTGACCACAGTCTTTCAACTCAAAACAACGCCTGCAGTATGAGACAAATACAGCACCAGCAGGACAAAACAGAATGCCAACTTTAACTGTTAGAAGAGAAACATCTCAGTTTCTACATACAGTCTGATCCCAAGCAGAACTGTTCAGGGATATTTCAGACTGCACTGCTGCAATGGCTGATCTGATACAGTAAGTTTAAAACACTTTACCTGATTTCAATAACATCAAGAATTAAGTCTCTTACAACACATAAGTACCTAGAACAAGAAAGCAGCATCACAATATAGGACTGCTGTGATACACAAAATTATGAAATACATACTCACTCTTGCTAACAACTGAATTGGCTCCTGAATTTCAGGGAGAATATTTAAGGACTTTCAGGCAAGAGAAGGTGGTAAAGGAAAATGGAAAGGTAACTGCCTCTGAAGACGTATATTGTGAATGCTGCAAACAGGTTTTCCCTAAAGAGACATTTGTCTTCTCCAAGAACCCAAAATGCATTTATTCTTTCTTAAGTACATCCTTCTTTCCTATCAGTGACTCTTAATTTACAGTTTGTTCAATAGCTTGCCAAATCCCAGACTACTACAGTGTGGCATTCTAAACCTAGACTACTTCCTTGGGTAATATAATCACTGCAATTTGCTAACGTGCACCTGCAGCTGTTTTATATTACAGTTAAATTTTCAATTTATATATATATTTAAATCCAATAGCTCAATTATGCCTTTATTACTTATCTAGAATGGAAGGCTTTCCCTTTTGACTAGCTATTCTAGTCAAATAGTTATTGATTGACTATATATATAGTCAAAATTGACTAGATATTCAATCACCACAGCGTATCTTGAACAAAATTCAATGAAGATAAAGCAATTGAATAGCATTTTCGCAATGACTGAGTCACAAGCAGAGAAGATTTCACCTGCCAGCTCACTCAGCTGCTTTCCCTAATCTATTAACTGCCACTGTAAAATAGATTTTGGCACAGCCAAAAGCTCAAGAATAGTTAATTATCACAAAGAATATGAGAATATGAAGTCCATCCAACTTATTTCTTCCATATGATAAAAATCAAGCAGATGACAAAATAATCCATCTTGCAGTAGTCAAGATTTACTGATTATTAGCATGCTCCCCAATTCATTACTTTAAGCTACTAACTACTGTGTTTGCAGGTATTACTTACAAAGAAGTAAATCTTTTTTTAGAGGCTTTTTGATTCTTAGTCCTTTTGGCAAACAAAAGAAAATGTCTGCATTTTTTTTCCCAGTTTCTCACTGTTAGTGTGGATTTATCCCCTTAAGAAGTAACTTGATATAAATTTAAAATGGTAGCATCTATTTGCTCTGATGCAGTTTATAAAGGTTATAAATCAGTACTAGATACGGAGACATAATATAAAAACTGTGTATTTATTATCTAACAAACTCTGCAAAAAACTCGTCTTTGAGTTCAGCTTAATTTTTACTCCCCATAATAAACGTGTGAATATTTTTATTCAGTTTTCAAACTACTACTGGAAGAAAGAAAAATATTATTCAGTTGATTTTGTTTGTAGCCCAATATAAACTATTTCAATTTCTTACTGCTAAACTACATTTATAAACATGATGTCCCATGCTTAAGAGAACATATGGAATATGTATGTGTTCATCCACCAGTGATTTCTGTTTAATGAACACCACACAACATACAGTACTTAGGATTTCCATTATTTTCACATATACAGCAAATATTATAGTCCTTATTTCCTTTACAAAAGCATCTTGATTCAATCTTAATACAGCTACAATGCTTAAAAAAAATCAAGACTATAGTACATTTTTTTCTGTACACGTATGTGCAATATCCCCAGACAAAAATAATACAGACATGGAATCCTACAGATTTACCATCTGCCCCTTGGCTGAAATAATTTTTGTCACATTATGTAAGTCCCATCTTTGTAATATTTCATGGATTCTAGATGTTGAGTCATTGCAAGTACATCCTGAAATCCTGTACTGAGGCCGGACATGTGTTGAAAATAAGCTTCCTTCTCCACTTGGACAGTTAGGTTGTTTACTCCAGCATCTTTCAGAATTGCTGTAACCTGAATACAACATTAATATTACACTTTATAAGCATATCACAATAACTTACTCAATTCTCACTCTGAAATATTGCAAATTAAAAAAATACTATCATAAAGAATTTCAATTTTCTGGCAGAGTGAAGATAACTTCATACAGGATGGCTCTGCAATTTCTGCAAATTTTCAGCACATCGTATAAAGAAATGAACAACCTTAGGAGGTATTTGAGAAAAAAGCACCCAAGGTTGACAGATTATTATAAAGTCAGTAACAAACCCATGTTAGCATCTAGATTTGCCTGTTTTGAAACACGGAACAAACCTCCTCCTCCCTTTCTTACAGCAGATATAATTCTACTATCCATGTTTCCCTCAACTCTTTTTTTTCTTGTTTATTTTGGAACAAGTTTTGGCAAACAACACTTCTATGACAGCAGACCAAGGCACTTACAGCATTAGAGGCCAGCTCTGAAGCATTAAATAACAGCTTACAAAAACAGGATAACAGAGTAAGAAACAATGTGAAAAAAAAGCTTAAAAACTTTGCACCTTACCTGCTGTACAATTCTCTGCTCCATTACATCTGATACCACTTGCACATGTATTGTACCTGCCACAACACTTGCAGAATGACACCAAAAATGAGGATCTCTGTAGGATATGACTCCATCTATTTTCTGAATCTGTAAAGAATTTACATTAGCAATGATTATTTTCAAAAACACATTTTAAACTTGCACATGTACATGCACATTGATAACAAATATTCCACAGGGAAACAAAGCTGCATTTCCAGCTTAGTCACAGAGAAATAAAATAGCACCTAGAGGCCACCACGCTACTGTCAAATACTAGCTGTTACATGTCAAAGGAAAACTGAGCTCAGGGCAATGTGAAAAGAGATGAGTTAAAAAACAAAACTGTTGGAGTCTCAGTAACATCTATGGACAGACCAACTTTGGTCTGGGCTTTAAGTCACTTATAGAGTATCTGTTACATTGCTACCCAGGACAGGGAGCTGTACAGTTACTACAGCTATACATTTTTCAGAAACATATTTCCATAATTCACCATTTTTAGAAATTGATCTTTGCACTGGGCCTGCTGGGGACATGGCAGCCTGGATGATATTCTGTTTTGGATTTGTAGTTAAAACAGTGTTGATAACACACTGGTGTTTTGGCTGTTGAACACAGGTTGTAGATTCTGGGCAACCTGCTCTAGCTTTTGATCTGACATGGAGGTACTGGAGCAGGTCCAGAGAAGGGCAACGAGGCTAGTGAAAGGCTTGGAAAAGCAGCCCTCAGAGAGGCTGAGGGAGCTGGGGCTGTTTAGTATGGGGCTGAGGGGAGACCTTATTGCTCTCTTCCAGTACCTGAAAGGTGCTTACAGTGAGAGCAGGGTAGGTCTCTTCTCACTGGTGACAGGTGACAAGATGAGGGGAAATGGCTTCAAGTTGCACCAACGTAAGTTTAGGTTGGACATTAGGAAAATCTTCTTTACAGAAAGGGTGGTTAAGCATTGGAATAAGCTCCCAGGGAGGTGGTTGAGTCACTGTCCCTGGATGTGTTTAAGAGCCGTTTGGATGTGGTGCTCCGAGATATGATTTAGCAGAGGATTGTTAAGAGTTAGGGTACTGTAGTTAGGCTGTGGTTGGACTTGATGATCCTTGAGGTCCCTTCCAACCTGAGTAATTCTGTGATTCTATGATTCTATGATTCTTGCAAGTAGGTGTTCTCTGAGGTTCCTTCCAACCCAAGCCACTCTCTGATTCTATGGTTGTCAAGAGTTCCTCTTTTTTCAGTCCTGATTCAATCCAGCAAGTCTGCTATGCATGGACCAGAAACTGGGAAGAAACACAGCAGGGACAGCTGATCCAAGTGGCCCAGAGAG